AGGACTGTTTTCCTTCCCTCTGACCCAAGTCTGGAGGCTGAATTCGGGGCTGCAGGACCCAGCTCGACCTGCTGGGGAGCGCAGTGTGATCCTGTGGCTGGAAAAAAACAGGTCCTCGGGTTTCCACCGCTTGCCCTCAATCCCTGCAGCCTGAGCGACTGCCCTAGACAGGATGTGGGTTCTGACATGGCAATATATGTAATAAACTTAATTGCTGTCATTAATATGAGCTAGGGAAACATTAAAGTGTACCAAGCTGCAGCAAAATTACCCCACTCTTATGTTACCTTCATTTTCCATGTCATTTTCAAAAAGTCACAGTGGAACAACTAAGCAGAACATTGCGCCTTTGCAACACACCATAAACAGTGCAAACCTCAGTGAAAGATACACTATAAAATAAATAACTTTTCCAATGGAAAGCATAAGTCATCTGTGTATTAAACTGGAGAAATGTGTATAAATGGACAGATTGTACAGGCTGGGGTGTAATCATTACACCAACAAGTCTTACACATTGTACTGTTTCAGCTACCATACTTCCCTGCAATTATTAGCCTCCTTTTCTGCCAACTCCGAGCTTAACATACCGTCCCCCTGCCAAGGCCATTTGATTATAAATAGCAAAACATCACGTAAATGCAGGCATGTGGGGAGCAGATACAGCACAGAAAAGTGGGCCATTGGGAAGAAGTATTTACTTTTTTTAGGGTCTGATCCTGTACAAACATTTAGTCATGTGAATAGCTGGCTATTCTTGAGCAGCTTCCCGAAATTCAAAGAGATTATTAACCTTAAAGGCACAAATGTAATATCTTGCAAGATCCAGTTCTTGCAAGTCTTGTTTGAAAGCTTTTAATACAACCATGGTAATCAAAACAAGAGGTATATTTTGGAATCAGTTGGTTCTTCACAAATGTTATATATTGAAACAACAAAATCTCATGGCCAAGTAGCCATCTCATACACAGTTAACTATTTTTATCACAATCAGATTATAATGTACGTGTTAAGTATTCATGATTTGATAGATTTCTTCCTAATTTGTGGCTGATCCCAATGATCTGATACTGCAGGAAAAGATTTCACAGAAGGGAGAAAAAGGGAAAGCTGGAAAATGTCACTACATGGAGTCACCTCTTCGTATGTACTAATTCTTTACCGTTTGCACAGCACGAGTGACTTGGATAGATGCCCTGTGTTCACGTGTGGAGACCTGACTCTCATTGAAGTCAGTGGCAAAACTCCCATTAACCTCAATGGAATCAATATTTCATTTCATGTGAACTATAGGGTTCGAAGATGCTTCTCCAGTTATGTTGCTCTACAGAACCATTCCTGCAGACAAAATAATACCTTTTATGGGATGCCATTAAGGCCTACTTGAAATGTAAACACTCTGCCAGAGCATATCATTTATGGGATGACTTGATGTCTGCTCAGATCATCTCTTCCCACTAAGCCTATAGTCTTACGTGCCTCATTACTTTTGATGGCACACAGCGAAGACAACACTATGTAGACACCATGGATGGTGATGTTGCTAATGTGGATGTGTGCTGCAAAATACATGCTCTTGTGAAAAGGTGGTATGGGATGTTCTCATTATAAAAGGCGTGGTACCCTCTCTCCCTTGGCTGAACACTTGCATCCTTATCTCCAACTGCTGCAACACCAAATGCAATCATGAGAGAGAGGAACTCAAGCCTGGACTTGTTGGAAACTTAAATATGTTTAGGCTGAGAGAAGAACACAGCCAAGCATTGAAAGGAAGCACAGATCTCTCCTCCTCCTTCACTGAAAAGCCTTTCCTCTACTTCAAAGGGGAGGATGCCATTGCAACAGATATAATGGTTAGAATGAGAAAAGAAGCAGTAAAAACGTCATTATTTCCTGGCATAAGCAATCTGGTTGGAAAATGCTTCTTGAGCAATGGCTTGGCAAAAGTTGATCCTAGCACTAACTCTGAAATAACAGATAATATCCAAGTGAGTAGCCTTGATTATCCAAAAAGCCATTCTAGCAGCATTTATCACAACAGGATCCAAATCCTCCAAAAAAATCACTGCACCACTCTCCAGAGAGGTCCATTACTGCCACGTTTATGTTGTAGGAAGCTTTTCAGAGCAAGGAGGAATGAGAGATCGAGTTTTGCTCAAGAGCTCACTGGGGAGGACAGAGGTAGACCTGAAGCCATATCTTTGGAAGCCTCCATGCTCTTCTTTCACTGTACAGCTGTCCTTCTGTAACCCACTGGCATATGTTGTCTCTGTGTCGAAGGGAGGTGGATTTGGGATATGGGTGGAAACATGGTGAGTATTTTAACCCTCCCTACTGTGGTGTCATTTTCATGTCTGACACCTCAAAGGCTGATCCCAAGCCATGCTTTGTATGGCTGGGAGGTAGCCCTGAAAATGAACCACTGCCTTGCAAAGTCAGCCTGGCAGAGGAAGACCCCCTGCCACAGAAATGGGGGAAACCGCTTTTCGGGGGGTTGTTTTTAAATGGAAGATTGGATTCCATAGAAAATATAAAAAATTATGGAGCAGCCTGTGAGTTTCCATTGGCCTCTGGCCATGACACGCAAAAGAAAAAAAAAAGGGGAAAAAAAGGAATGAAAACACTTTTTATCATTTTGTTCCTTTAGGAGGGCCCAGAAGCTCAGAAGCTGTGTGTATTACAAGTGCCACGTTTCTTTGTTGCGCTCCAGCAACCAACACAGATGTAGCGGGGCCAAGAGCTGGATGCTTATGTTTTGTGTATCTTGGATGTAAGGCTTTGGAAAATCTGCCTCTGAGTTATACAAATGGTCACCTCATTCTCTGCTGGGAGTTGCACTCCCATTGTTTATTCTGTATTTCTAACATTGACTTTTGTAACTTGTTTAATTTCCTGAGGATCAGGTCAGTATGATTTAGAATTTTTTACTTTTTTTTCATCTCATGAAAGGTGGATTTAATTTCCCAAATTTCCTTTTTGTCACACAGACAACGCAGTTATTGATGGGACATTGGAAAAAGGGCAGGCTCAGGTCTTGACTTCTCCTCTTCTCTCTTTTGCATTGATGCCAGACACTGATGCAGCTAATAACCATGTGTAAAATGTATCTCATGGTCATTGTCATGGAGGATGAAAAGCATGAACCTTGCTTTTCTCGATGATTTACATTGCCTTCTGCATCCCAAACCTTTCCAAAAGTTTTTAATCGTAAAGGCTGAGCTTCAATCTGATTTTCAGCCTAATTTGTAATCACAGCAAACAACAATCCACAGTCAGATGACAGTACATCATTCTCACTAGGAAGAAATCAGTGCCATTTCAATGTATTTCTATCACTTTTGTAGTCATAACTTACTGAATGCCTTCATGAGTGCCAAATCTTTAATTAACGATAGGGGCAATTAATCAGCCTGTGTATTGGTAAAACTTTATCAGCGAGTAAGCCAGAATGGTAAAAACCTTTGAAAGGATTTACCTTCCATCTAGTCCCAGGACTGAAAGCAGCAATGAGATGAGTCAAACCAGTGAGTACCGGAGAGGAGCACAAATCCCTTGAAGCCAAACTGAAGTATTTGTTCTAGAGCTACAGCTGCGAAGTTTTACTCCGCTTTGAAATTTAACATGATTTTAAGCCAGGTACCAATTTCTGTCCCTTCAGAGTTAGAAAGGTCAAGGAGTGTGTCCAAAACCCATGGCTGCTGAGGAAGCAGAGGTGACCCAAGCCCTGCAGATGAAGCTCCCCAGCCTCAGAGGGATGCAGACTCCATCCTCCCAACAAATGTCTCCAATTCCCAGCAGAAAGCAGCACTACCTTAAAACTCACTGACAACTTCTATGCCCATGTTTTTTTTACCAGGGCTTTTATACTCAACTATACTACTTGAGGCTGATACCTGGGCTCAGATTGCACCACCAGGACGGTTTTGAGGTCCATCGAGCTGCTCAGCTAGTTATGACACCCTGTTGCTTTCCTGAGGGGGCTATGGATGCTCAGGAAAAACTTCTGTTCCCTTGCAAGTGCACAGCCTAATGCTCTTATCCAGGCAGTGCTGCAGAAACTGCAAAAGGGAATGGTATTTGTTGTAATTGTGATAGCACAAAAACACAGCCTAATGCACACCTGAGGTAAAAATGTCACGTCATTGACTCCTTTCTGTTGCAGCTATTATAACAACCAAAAGAATATCTCACTTCATATATAACGATCCCTGCCCTAAAAGACTTACATCCAAAGCCTGGTTTTAGGTGCAGCTGGTAGTGTGGGGTGATGCTCAGTCACTCGGGGTTGGTCAAAAGTACCTGAGCCACTCTTGTTTCAGTGACATAGTCCTTGGGTAACGTTGGTGAAGTCATTCACGTGCAAAGGCATTATCTAATTTAAAGCACTTAACAGAGGTGTCAATAACAAATACAGTCGGACCAGGTACTTTTTTACAGTCACTGTGAAGCGATAGCATTGCTATAGGCAATTCAGGCTCAGTTGATCTCTCTCTAGGGTTTCCTGTCTCTTCCAGTCAAGAAGAGAGGGTAAACAATGTGAAACCAGCTCCTTACAGCAGGCAGGAGGTGGGCTATCATCTGTGAAACATGAGTGAGGACCGGAATACTCTTAAGCGCTCTGATACTACTTTGGCAAAGACCTCATGAGCAGGTTGATACCCAGCTTTCTTCACACCTACAGAATTTGACCTTTTGCCCCAAAGTATGGTTTCTGGGTTCAATCATATTGGCATATCCCACTGCTGCACTACACTCAATGTACATAATTCAGCATTTCACTGAATCCTTATACAGATACTCAACAGGTTGGTGCATGAGATTAAAGTCCATCATGGTTTTCCAGGAAAATCTGGAGGACAAAGGTGGGGGTTGTAAGAAAAAGAGCACAGAGTCATTTAGTAGAGGTTAGTATACTACATGACAGAAAAAACACTTCCACCCATAAGTGTAAAACGATGCGCTCTGTCCTGAGGTTTCACACAGCAGTGACTGTTGCTTACCAAGGGTGCCGTGCTGCTTGCTCACAGGTGTATCTTTTGTTAGGGTCCTTCTCCATCAAATTCCGAATGAAGTCTTTAGCTGTAGAAAAAAGAAAGAATAATTTAGAGCAATAGAGTTGATGCCCAGTCCTGCTGCAGGATGATCAGCCAACAGCATTGAACAGGCTACCAAGTGCCATCTGGCCACAGGACCAGAAAATGGCCCTGGGTCATTTGTCATTTATTAGTATAGACATAAACAAAGTGACTTAGGACTAAATCCAAGCTATTTAGCCTGGCAGATAAAAGCTGAAGGCATCTTCTCCTGCAGGTATATTTAGGAGTGGGGTGGATAATTCAGAGTCAGCAGAGTTCAAGCCTGCCAGCTCCCAGCTCCCTGCCAAGTGTCTCTAATCATCTTAGTGGTCTGAATACGGCCACATCTGTTGGAGATGCTGGTAAACTGAGTGGGAAAGGCAAGGAGGAGGTCAGATGCCACAGCAAGAGAAGCTTCTCATTGCTCGCTCCAAGCAATCACACACACGGGCAGCTGTGAGGACATGTGTATGTACAAAGAAGTTATAGAGGAAAATGGACTCCCTTGGGCATGAGGAAGTGTGTTTTTAATCAACACTATAGTGGAGGGAAGGGAGATTGCCGTGTGGCGTGCATCCAGTAGTTTCAGGATAGAGTAGCTGAAGGAGCCACCGCAAAGCCAAATATGGCAGGAAAATCTCTGTGCTGATTTAGGTGATGTACTTTCCCTTCAAAATGCAAAGAGGTCTGCCAGTAGACCTTCATATTTTCTCAGAAATCCCTTATGAGCTTAAAAAATCTTCTCATCACATATAGTTTTAAGCAATCCATCACAATGATATCTGGACCACAGATGTAAGCAGCATGAAATGTTGTTCTATGCAGAGATAACAGGATATATAATCATCTTTAAAATAAAACACTTCTTTTTATATCTCCCTTGCCTTAATCAGTAGCACTCATGAATCAGAAAACTGCATTTCTGTCTAACAAATTGTTCCTAGAATTGATTTTTTCTCGTGTAAGAAACAGCAGACTTTCCCTCAGGTTGGGCAGAGCAAGGACACCGAGCTAGCGGGACCTCTTGGAGACCACACAGCACATCGGTGGCACACGCAAGGTGTAATTGCGGTCACCTATAGACACTGACACTGGCAGACCACAAGCTGTGCAGGAGCCAGAAGCCTTTAGGCACATTTGCCTGTAAAAGGGTAATATATCTGCCACACTGACTAGAGCTATGGATTAAACGGCTTCTGCACTGGGTGAGGAACTGGGAGAGCACACAGACAGCTATCTGGACCCAACCATGCGGACAGTACTCCCAGTTTCTGTATCTGCTTACCCACCTCATCTGGAAGCCACTAATTTCTTGCGTTTGTCTTTGCTGTATACACTGCAGACTCGCTTCGGATCTGCAGTACAGTTTTAGTAACAGAGCTGAACTAGTTTGCCTTCTTATTATTAGTGACACATAAACCACCTGCATTTATTTAGATATGATGAAGTCAAACTGCTTTGTCTTCCTGGGACAGTCTTCTGCTATCTACATCTTCTGTCCCAACTATGTTTTAGTGCTTTGTGTGCGACTGGATAAATTCGTACTGCATTTGTTCTCCAGCAGAAATAACTTCCTGTAACTATTCGAGCTAATACAAATGCACATTCCCAAGGGTTTTCAGTTAAAAGGAGCTCCACACATGACAAAGGGTGCATTCTCACCCCCAGAGAAGGTATTCTGCAACAGGTAGGTAGGCATGCATGCATGGTTGTTGCAATTAAATGAGCAGTAGCTTCTTACCAGACTCAGAGATGTCATCCCAATATGGAGAGTCAAACTCATACTCTGCCTTAAGGATCTGCTCGAAGAGTTTGGAGTCATTCTCATCATAGAAAGGGGGATACCCACAGAGCCTAATGGAGAAAAAGAAAAGAGATACATGACTGTAGGACCTGTCTCTGCTGAGAAGGTGAGAAAGAGGGAGGGAGAAGGAGAAGCTTTTGTTTAAGACTAAGACTTGCCCCAGTAAGTTTTCATGCAGGTGAGCACTACCATGACAGAACTTTGTTCAGGTACATGTAAACCCACTTCTGGCGATTTGCACCATCCTGGACAAAAAGGAATTCTTCATGGAAACCTGGTGCTGTTGAACCTGCACTGACTTTAGGCAGATATTCTGGCCTCCCTCTGCATGCTTTTGGGTGTTTAGCCAGAGGACTAGTTTTATCACACAGCCACGAGCCTCTCTGTCCTCTCCTGCATATGTTGTAAGAGGAGCTTTCATGGGCTACACCACACATCCACACAGCACCAGTTCCTCTCATCCCTCAGCACAACTGTTCCCCATCCAAGAGTGTTCTCCAGACTGGTTTCACTGCTCTGGTTGTCCTTCTGGACTGTTCTCATCCAACACCTTACACAAGTCACTTACACCAGCTTTACTCTCTCACAGATGGCAGAGAGGCACTGCAGCAGCTCTGCAGACAAGTGGGCACAGCAAAGCTCCCTGAGGAAAAGGACTTGGGAGTGTTGGTGGATGAGAAGCTCAACATGAGCCGGCAATGTGCGCTGGCAGCCCAGAAAGCCAACCGTATCCTGGGCTGTATCCAAAGCATCATGGCCAGCAGGTTGAGGGAGGGGATTCTGCTCCTCTGCTCTGCTCTCGTGAGACCCCACCTGGAATACTGTGTTCAGCTCTGGAGTCCCCAACACAAGAAGGACATGGAGCTGCTGGAATGAGTCCAGAGGAGGGCCACGAAGATGATCCGAGGGCTGGAGCACCTCTGCTATGAAGACAGGCTGAGAGAGTTGGGGCTGTTCAGCCTGGAGAAGAGAAGGCTCCGGGGTGATCTTATAGCAGCCTTCCAGTACCTAAAGGGGGCCTACAGGAAAGCTGGAGAGGGACTTTTTACAAGGGCACATAGTGATAGGACAAGGGGCAATGTCTTTAAATTGAAAGAGGGTAGATTTTGATTAGATATAAGGAAGAAATTTTTTACAACGAGGGTGGTGAGGCACTGGAACAGGTTGCCCAGAGAAGTTGTGGCTGCCCCATCCCTGTTAGTGTTCAAGGCCACGTTGGATGAGGCTTTGAGCAACCTGGTGTAGTGGAAGGTGTCCCTGCCCATGGCAGGGGGGTTGGATCTGGATGATCTTTGAGGTCCCTTCCAACCCAAACCATTCTATGATTCTATGATTCTATGAACTGAGGGCACACAAGAGGTGATGACATCTACCCACCCACCTGCACGGCATCAGAACAGGCTTTGAGCACAACTCGTGGTCTCTATATTGTGCAAGAGACCATAGCTCTATAGGAAGGCTTGCTGAACATCTTTAGAGCCACTGGCCACCCACACAGACCTCTTCTTCAGCACAACAGGGAGGAAGAGCTGGTGCAAAACAGGACAAGAAGCCTCACAGAGCTATTAGGTGGAGGGCAGGATGCATCTGCAGGTTGTGCTGGGCTCTGTATCCCTGGGCACAACCAGGGGGACGTCTGGGAGCCACTCCACCTCTGCAGCAGAGCCTGCACAGGCTGCACATGGACCTGCTGTTGTTGTGGAGACACAGGGAGAGCCTCTCCCTTTCTCACTTCTGCAAGTGATTTTGCTGCCCACATCAAATTGTCTACCTTGCCTAAGGCTAACAACAATCCTGTCCTGGTTTTCAGCATTTATAATCAGACTTCTCAGAAAACCTAGCCCCAGGACAAGCAGGACATGGAACATTATTTGCCTAGTTTGAGCTAAGACACTCAGGGCTCACCCTCCCAGTGTTGCAGACAGCAGGACAGCCACTGAGCCAAGGCAGGAATCCTCCAGCCCTGCAGATGCCGGGCATGGGAAAAAAAAACACATCTGACATTGTATTAAGGAAATGCAGCAACAAAACTTGCGTGCCAGAGATCCCTGACATCCAGCCAATGCCGCATGCAGTAGCCTGTCCCTCTCTCTGCAGACACACTGGCAAGACACCCCTTCTTCAGGTTTTAATGCCAATGTTGCAGTGTCAGATTTGCCTCTGAGGCTGGTCCGAGGTTTTAGCACATCCATCCTGCTCACAGTTAGACAGGCCTCTCTGCCTCTATTGTCTCTGTAGAAAGATGTCCAATTTTTTTCCTCTTATCTCTAGTCTACGGTGTAAATTTTTGCTTCACATACTTCACCAATATTGAAACGATCTTTTTCCTATGTTTTTCTTAAACTCTGAGTCAATCAACCTCAATAAAGCATTTAATTGGAGGGATACAGCCATTTCAAACAGGCTGAAGATCTAGCTGAAACACTACACTGTAGCAACAGCAGAGCAAGGGGATGGGGGAACTGTAAGAAATGAAATACTCGAGTTATTTATAACCCAAAGCCAGCCAGCTGCCCTGGAGGTTATTTGAACCAACTCAACACTTGAGGGTGAAAGGAGCGATGTTTTGTTAGCTCTGAAGAGCCAGTGTGCTCAATAAATAATTTAAATGCTGAGTGAGATGCTGATCTGCGTCAGATCCATATTGACCTGGAAGAACTCTACTGAAATTTGCGTTGTTATAATGAGTCCACTGTGGTTCAACTGAATCACAAATATCTCTCTTTATCTTGCAAAGCAGATGAGTCAGGTCTCATCTGTGTCCCGCTGGATGACTGCCGTTATCAAAATCAAGTAAGATAACCTCATGCCAGATGAGCATTTATGTTCAGAACAGGACCACATATCTACTTAATGGGCACATGTTTGTGTATGGGGCTCGATGCAGCAACTACGTGAAACCCAGTGGCGGAAGTGGTGTATGAGAAGGGCCATGAAAAATGGTGCATTTAAGCAAACGCCAAAAATCTACTATGCACCTGAATAATGAAGGAAAAACATCTGGTAACCTACTGCAGAAACTGGATCCACAACCAGGACCCAGCTCTACAGGTATCTCTGAAGAACATTTATAACTGGCTTTAATGTAATAAACATTGGCGCTCAGGTCCCACAGTCTTGAGGAGGATGCACACAAACTGATTTTCACCTCCCTCCTCTTTTATCACAACCCTCAAGATTTTGGGTGCTTTACCGAGGGGTTTGGAAAGGCTGGAGTTGACTGCACCAGCACTGCAACCATGAGGATGGCCACTGGGATGGAGATGCCCAGGCTGGAGGAAAACGGCTCTTCCAAAGGCGCTTGGAGCCCATCGCTTTGTCCCTCTTCCCTGGGTGACTCAGGAGGCTCCATGTAAGAAGCCCGACAACCCTTCATTAATTTCTTGCCTTCCTCAGCACTTTCCTTAAACAAAACCAAACTGCTCCGATACAGCGTTTTAAGGCGAGCAGACAGTGCTGAGCATGCCGAGGCGCTGGCAGGCTGCTCCAGAGAGAGAAATAACTCTCTTAAAATGTGCACTCTACTAATTACCTTGGCAAAGGTACAAGAGCACAAGTTAGGGCTGATGTGATTTATACACGCTCGAGGCAGCAAAAGGTAGAAGCAAACTGCTGAGCAGCACAGAGTTGGAGGGCTGGGGGAAGCAGAGAGACATGAACCCCAGCAGGAGCCCCAGCCTCTCCAGAGCCTT